TGGCCATAAACAAGCTGGACCCTATGCGGCGCGAGTTACAATCCGAGCAGGCAAACAAGTCCCAGAGGCGTAATCCGAAAGGGCAGAACCCAAAGGTCGAAGGGAGAGGTCTAAATCCGGGATAATCGTTCCAGGTAAAGCGCATGGTGAGAGTTACCCAAGCAAGCAGCAAACTGACAAGCCAGTGACTCAAATACCGAGCGAGGAAGTGTGGGGGAACTAGGAGTTTAAATAGTGTTGGGAATGGACGTGATTGGAAAATGAGGTAACGAGTGCAATAAATGTGGACAAATGTTTCCCACTTAAACATTGGGGCCCCAGTGGCACAGAAAGATATGAAGCCTGTCGGCCTGTTCTCTAGGAGTTGATTAAGACTGAACTGGCGAGAGGTGTTAATGTCCGGGCAGCAGGAGGGCTCAGCCCACTGAGCCAGTTACGGTGCGTGGTCGTAACACTTACAGACAAGCATCACCCACACCAACTACAAATACATCACTTGATTACCGGGAACCTTACCTAAATGCACTTCTCCACTTTCATTAACCTCGTCTCCAGCACTTGTCACAAGCAAAACCTCAACCCTTTACCCTAACGCCTACCTCCGAGATCGTCACTTTCTCTCGTGTCATGTCGTCTCTATCTGGGCTGAAGCAGGTTAGGTCTGCAGCTCCTGCGTGCCTGCCATAGGTCAGGCACCAGAGCAGCAGGGCAGCACTGAGCTGCACCGACGAGCCCAGGGAGTGGTGATCCCCAAGAGAGCCAGTTTCCTTTGTTTCCACAAGAGGAGTGGTTTGGGAAATGAAATTGAAAAGGAAATTAAAATAAGTTGCAGTATTTATTTAATGGTAAAGGCTGATGATGCGTGGTACACAAAAGTAGAAATCTTTCCTCTTGTTTAAAATAAGGGGAAAAAATAAGCAGTGTTATAGATACAAGGTGTGAAGCAATATGGATGGATATTGTCAAACAAAATTTGACTAATTTGAAATTTGAATAATCACATCTCCTGTCATTGCCTTAATAGTAATCTTGGCCTTGTACGGTGTGTAAGGCAGATTTAGAGATTAAACATTTCATGTTGGCATCATCTTACTGTAAGAAGAGAATTTCCGATTACAAATTCTGAGCATGTGTATTTACCACTTCACCATTGGATGGGTTTTGTGTTGGTTTCTCTGAAATATGTTTTTCACATTACCTCATCGGTGAAACCCCCTTGTTCTTCAGTCTTCTTTTACAAAACACGATGCTAAACAAAAAGCTTGAAACCTGTAATCCCCTTCAATTACTATGCAAATGTTCCATTAAATAACCATATTTACAATTGAAAAAAAATACCCTAAGAGAATTGCTTTATTCTAGATATTGCACTGTACCACATTTTATGATGACGTTTAAAGTCACAGTTTAAGAATGCTAAAACTCCTGAATGTTTGTATAGGCAGTGGTAATGTTAAAATAATTGGTATACTCATACTTCCTAGACTACATGTCTGTATCTGTTGTATCTGAATCTGTTATGTAAAAGTATGGTATATAAATTAACTTTTAGTTTAGTTTTAGATAACTATTCTGTGGAAAGATGGTAAGTGACATAGCATTTGTGGAATCTGAAGTCTCTCGGCTTAGCAGAATTTTTTAATGTAAAACCCTGTGAACATTATATTTAGTTATATTTTGACAGGTACTGAAATGTATTTCTAAAGAAGCAGTCTTAATTTAAAGTCTTTGGTGCTGAAGTTTTTAGTAGTGAGTTCTTGGAACTAGGGGGTAGAAGCTTTTTTAATGATTGACTGTGATGCAATCTAGTATAATACAACCTATTTCCATTCTTACCCTCCTACACCTTGTTATTTTATACAGTAATCAAGGCCGTGTAATTAATGGCAGAGAAGAGCCTTAAATATTTAATATGTATTTCCTGTGGAGGCGTTTAATGTAAGAAGACCCTGGTGTCACAGAATGCAGTGTTAATATAATCACACACAATATTAAGAAAATAACTCCCTTGTATGAACTAGTGATAAGACTCACCATCTTTAGTTTTTTTAATACATTGAGTTATATATATTATTAACCTGTGACAACAAGAGCATGTATATGCCTCTCCATGTATATGCTATACTAAATGTTGCATAAATACATAAAATGACACTGTGATATAATTATCCTTTATTGTAAAAATAAAAAAAGTAAATCCCAGTTTTTGGAAATTTATTTTTAACACACAGCAGCAGGACACTTCATATATAGTTCTAGTGCAAAATGGGTATTTTAAAATCATAAGAGGGTATTAGACCCTTTTGTCAGACTTGACAGGTTTCTGTATTTAGATGAATCAAATTTGTACTTTCAAAGTTCTGATATACATTCTGCCTTTACCACTGAATATGACATAATTAAACTGTTTCATAAACATCAGATAGACACTGGAGTGCACGACCCTCAGAGATGTGTAATTTGTTCATGATTAGTATTACAAGGCTGAATCAGCCAGGAGGAGGCCAGGTAGCATTTTCGCTACTCTGCACCTCTTCCAGAAGCTCTGTGCATTGATCGTCCTTCCTGCTGTGCCTGCATCTCTCAAGACAAACCGAGAGATACTAAAAACACATCCCGGTCAAAAAGAAATCCCATACAGCAGGGTTTCAGACTCACTTCCTAGAGGACCTGATGCCTTCTCTGTTCTTCCTTGTTCCCCCTGAGCTCTCAGTTACAGAGCAGGACTCATTAGTTAATTTGCTATGGAAATTGAAATATTTCTAAACAGGATCCAAGGTGGGCCCCAGGTAAATATTTTGAATATGCCCAGGATGGAACAAAACCCAGAAGGCACAGGGCCCTCCAGGAGTGGAGTCTGACCCCCCTGTTACATTGTATCGTGAACAAGCAATGGTCATGGTAATGGTCATTTATGTACCACCATATCAGCCTGCTTATAACAGTTATATTATACATAGAAAACAATTATAACAGTATAATTCACTCGTACTGTCATTTTGTTTTATTTGTTTCTGCATATACATTATGTAGAAATTCTTGAATTTTCATCATTATTTTAGATTTTTGTACTGTACATCGCTGAAAATCTCTAGCATTGTGGTAAGACTTTTGTGTTTTGTTGGGGCTGCTTTGATATCAGGTTGAATTTTAAAATAGCCCTGAAACAAATTAATGTCAACTTTAAACTAAACTGAATGAATTAGTATATACAGTATAAAACCTATGCTTTCTTATTAACAAAAAACTAGTCACTGTTTAATGTCATCAATTGTATTAATAAATGAAAAAAGCAACAAAATGGTTAAAAATACAAATAATTACAATAAAATAAACTTCATGTAATTCAA